ATATCTGCGAAGCGCAATAAAACGAGGTATGCCTGTAGTGACAAATCTCAGGTTTCTGTCTGCCAGGTAACACTACCCCTCTAAGCAGCAGAGGGCTTCTGCTGGTATATAGCAGATGATAGCACATACAGAGAGTCCATCACTTTTATCAATCCTACTAAGCCTTGCAATAACCATTCTGGATAAGTATTTGAATTCTGCTAACCAAAATCTGAACTAACTTAAGCCAATAGCCCTCTGTTCCCCCACCCCTCCAGGCCTCAGTGTTTTGGAAAATGCTTACTCCCTGACAGTGCATGCGAATGTGTACATCTGTGGCTTTCATGGGTACTACCAAGGACAAGTAATCAGCCAAGCTCCATGTTCCTTATTGGTGCATGAAAGAATTGATGGATCTCTTAAGTGTGGTAGGAAGGATGGGCTGTCCAAGCCAAACTCATTGGGAAATGTAGAAACTGAGATGTATGTGAAGACAGCACCCAGGAGAAGGGGTAGGCATGTAGGCAAAGGTGGATGAGTGGGATGAGGAGGTGTGCTGGGCCAACGATCCAACAGGCATGTCACCAAATAGTCCTGTAGAATAAGCACTGTGGAACTTCCCTTGTTATGTGCCCCTTTTTCAACAAACTCCATGTCACCCATGGGAAGGGGGGGAAAGGGACCCAACCACCAACTTGCTCCTGGAAATGGACATATTGAGGGATACTTCGTGGGATCCTCCACACCCCACAGTGAAAACAATGATCCCAGAGATGGGGAGGAAGGAGATTTGTGATGCTGAACCCAAGAACCCTTGGGCAGCTAGCCACTGTTACAACGGCAAGGACAGCCAAAGCCAGGGTCAGTCTCAGCCAATGGAGAGCAGCAAGGACTGAGGAAGGCAGCTTTGGTGAGTGCTGCAGTATTTTCTCTTTCTCTCCAAGTGCATTACTGTTTTTAATCTCTCATACTCCTTGTCTCTTTCTCTCTCTTCTCCCCTCCCCTCTTCCCCTTAAATCTGTGACCTCGATCAGGTGACACCTTCAATTGCAGCAGCAAGAATGACAGGCATGAAACCACAGAAGGGGTGTTCCAGAGAGAAGATGGTCTTGGAGCTGCTGAAATGCAGTTAGTCAGCCAAGAGGCAGTAGAGCCAACAAACTTTGGGCAAATAAGCCAGGGTGGATGCACACTACTTAACATTGTTGGAAGGGGAAGAGAATGACAACTTCATATCTATTTACCTGTTAGAAAAAGTTCAAGAAGCTTCTTTTTACCTTCCTTAGAACTTTGCAAATCTCAATGCTAACAGTCTCAGAGTTGTTTAATGACTTGTTTGGCGGTGGGGGGGAGGAGGTACATGCAGTTTGTTTAGGCTGTCTGTTTTTTCAGGTTTTATCTACTTGAGAATGTTTGATGTTACCTTAAATAAAAACTTGTTTAACTCCAGCTTCAAATTTGATTAAAAAAATGTGCAGTCTGTCTACAGTACAGCCATACAGTGTCTCCACTCAGTCAGATGTCATTTTTAACACACACACACAGATGTCATTTTTAACACACACACACACACACACACACACACACACACACACACACACACACACACACGAGATAGATATGCATTCCCTTC